ATAATATTGGCATATATGTTTTCTAATAATTATATATCTATTTTTCCTACACACTTATTCTAATAGAATTTTAGAAAAGGATAGAAATTTAAAAACTTTTTAAATTATCTTTACAATTATACAGTGTAGGGAAAAAAAGGTCGGTACCCCTGAATAACTCGTAAAATATAAATTTTGTAGAAAAATGTTTTACATAAAAGTTATAGAATTTGAAAAGATTTATTTACTGATCTTATCAGTTCGACCTTGGGTGGCATTGCCAAGATCAAAATACACATAGATTTTTTAAAAATAGAACACTCTATTTTTTATTTCAGAATCTAATAGCTGGTGTCGAGAGCTTTTCAAAACACTGTAATAAAGTTATTTTTTATTAAGTACTTTTTGATACTACTTGAAAGTTACAATATTAGCCGATATTAGCATTACGCAAGATGTCCGACCGACGGCTAAAATGAATATTATTCTTGAGGTTTCCACGGGTGCTTTCCATATAAAAGTTATGTGTTTCGAGGGTTTCCTCCCTGCCCAAATACATTCTTAGAATGCCAACATTTCCTGAACCTTGCAGTCTACTTCGTCAGAGCGAGGAGCAGCCTGATACTGTGTGAAGTGACTGCAAGATTCACGAAACGTTGGCATTCCTTTTGAATATTGTTCAAGATCATGTCCTGGAAATTATTCTTTTTTAAGATTTCTTTTTAGAGAAATACGCGAGGAAATTGGAAGAAAAAAACAGATTTATGAAGAAGGCTTTACATTACACAATTATTCTAATTTTAAACATATATAACACATAATTGTTGATTTACTTATTCGACATTGTATTATTTTCTATATATTGTAGCTTGTGAACTTCTTGAGGAAGGTGTGGCAGCCATTTTTGGGCCTTCAAGCCGGTATACTAGTGGAATAGTTGCGAGCATTGCTGCGCGATTTAATATACCGCATATTGAGTATGTCTGGCGAGAAAGCGAAGGAAAGAAAAAGCAGAAGAAGACTTCACAATCAATGACCATAAACATATTCCCTGCCAGTGAACAAGTCAGTCAGGTTAGTCGCAATTTAAAAGAATCATTTCGCAATTAAATATATAGGTTTCAGTAGATATATATATACAATATAACTTGATATATATAATAACTTGAACATGTGCAAGTAGTAATTCAGTTTATTTTTATGATGATTTCTAAATGCATATCTAGTTAATTAATTAAATTGAATAATTACCCAATAGAATTACAGTAGTCTGCTTTTCTAAGATGCAAATTAAAACTTTAATATCACGTTGCACATTCGAAACACATTTATTATTTTTGGAATATAATTTTGATCGACGAAACTATACAGGCTATCGCCGATGTCGTTGATTCAATGAAATGGCGAAAATTCGTAGCAATTTACGAAACTAACGAAGGACTGTCACGTCTTCAGAAGACTTTGACTTTAAAAGGAGACAAGGACGCTCCGATTAGACATACAGTACAGAAGCTTAATGAAGGACCGGATTATCGCTCGATGCTTAAAAAGATACGTCATTTATCAGTGTGGAATATAATTATCGATGTTAAACCGGAAAATATCATGGAAGTGCTCTATCAGGCAAAGGAAGTCAATTTACTAGCAGATTATTGCAACTTCGTTATTACATATTTGGTACTGTATATTACATATTTTATTTCAATAACAACTTTTGAATGAGTATTTCATGTATTTTAAAGCTGAAAAGATTGATAATTAAAAGATTATAAATTAAATTTTTTAAAATTACATTTAAGGAAAATTAAATAGGTAAAGCATAATATTATATGTTATTCTTGTGTATCTGCGATTGCTAGAAAACAAATAGCATAAATAGTTTTTTAAATAATCATTTTATTAAATTGTAGGATTCATCCATGCTACCTATTGCCGGGATGCGAAATAATACCGTTAATATCACTGGACTGAGCATAAGAGAGAATGATGTAGAAAAAATTGATTGGGTATTTATTCAACAATCTCTTAATTATCAGCAATACGCATAATATAATATATTAGTGTAATCTCGAAAGTTTATATATTCTCTCATTGCATTTATATGTATAATTTTTAAATTTGACTTGCGTCAAACCAGATCTAGACCAAGTAAATGAGTGCGAACAACTCGTTTCAATGATTGTGAATAATTAATATCACTTGATAGTGAAAAATTAGAACAAAAAAATATTGGTAAATATGCATAAGGGATCATCCTCCAACCTTCATTTCGTTATATATTGTCAAGGTCATGACCCTAAGTGACCTCCAAGGTCACAGGTTTTAGGTGGCGGTCATTCTTCGTTAAAAAGTTACTAATAAAAGAAGTTTGAAAAATAGTGTTTCTTTTCTACTATATATATATATATATATA